AAGATCCTCCCACTAGTTCGTTAACGTTGAACTTTATACCATATCCGTATTTCCGTATTTCTACTAGACCCATCTGTGGTGTGCTTGACTACCAGTTGTCGTTGATGTGGTCGAACATGCTGATATTTCGCCGCTTATGCTATGGATATGACCGTCCTCCGTAATTCTACTCTATCAACACGATCTATGGGCGGCGATATCATAGACGCGCAGGCGGTCCCGGTTTCCAGGCTGTGTCGGGACCGGGACGCTTTATTTAATCGGGACATCTTTCTTTATTTTCGACATCCTACCTGTAGCCATGCATCTATTACTGGGAGAAAGGCACTGTAGTAGGATGAGGTGAGGCCGACTCGTGCGGCGTGCGATCCTCGAGTTCGGAATGGCTGATATTACACTCGTCGACGGTAATTTTAGCGTCAAATCTCCTCGCCTTCAGCGAGCCTCTGATGAATGCGCTGAAATCTCCTGTACTTAAGGGTTCAGGCTGGATTATCACGCCGACCCTCACCAAGTCTTCCTTGAAGCGGAGAGGTCTTCGCAACGTCGAATGTATTTTCCGCCTCGCCCTTGCTTTCCCGCCCCAACTTTCACGGGTAGGCAAAATAGGTGCTAAGTACTGAGACTTCACTGGAAGCGACGATTAGACCACAGCCCACCGCCAACGGGGAATGTTATACAATATCTCATCGAGGGCCAGGCACGTCGCTGGGGAATTTGATTCTCTCAATGGCTGGGAATTCAAGGGGTGCCACTGAATAGGATTACTCAACTCGAGCAACTCGTGTCGGAATAGATTCAATAGAAAGCCGAACCTCGTACCCTCATTCATGATGAAGTACCAGTAGAGGAATTTCTCAGCAATTGTTTGGCCATGCACGTGGTCGCGCCAATCAGGGGTTTATTTACGGCACATTACCTCTTGGTTCCGACCACCATCTACCCCCCACTCACTCTCTACGTTTCCTCTTCTTCTCTGATTCGGACTCTATGGCGACCGTCCCCGACAACTGCCATGCCTCTTTCGCCGACAAAACGGCTGACGTCGCGCTCCACTCGGTGGAAGGCACGGTATATCTCGTGCACAGCATAATTCTACGCAACACCTCCAGCTTCTTCCGAACCATGCTGTCGCTCCCACAACCAGCCGATTCAAAAGCACCTCACGACATTCCCGTAGGCGAGAAGGACGTCGTTCTCGAACGCGTGCTGCGCCTCATGTGCGGGATGGAGATTCCCCGCTGGTCCTCGCTCGACGAAATCGAGTCCGTCTTGACGTTGGTCGAAAAATGGGAAGCTCCAGGCCCGCTCTCCGTCGTCCGCACCGCGGTCACTTCGACGCACTTTGCAGACGAGCCCCTCCGTCTGTACGTTCTCACATCGCACTTTGGGTGGGAGGAGGAGTCGAAGCAGGTGTTGACCGAGACACTCAAGCTCATGCTATTGAGTGGTGAGCACGACTCGCTACTGTGTCGGCTTTCTTCGAGGAGCCTCCTCAAGATCGTGACTTTCCACGATCGGTGCAAGACGCGGTTCCGAGATGCGCTGAACGGCGGTGAGCTGTTCTCTGCTGGAAACGAGGAGCCGCGGATCTGTGGGTGCGGTAAACGCACGGACAATACCACTTGGCGGGCGCTCAAAGCCAAGGTACCGTTCTATTTAACACCCTGCATTGAGGTACTAATTCGACTCTCGGTAGCTCTTGACAGAGTTTGAAAAGCGCCCGCTTGGTGACCAGATTCTCGTGGACATGTCCGCCTGGCCTGAAGCCGCCGCCTGTTGGCGAGAAAAGTGCGGCTGTGGGACACAATATTACGACCAGGTGGCGACTGTGAGGAATATCAAGGAGTCCATCACGAATTCGATTAATCTTTCACTTGCGGGGTAGTTCCGGTTTGTAGGTACCTACATCCGAGCTGCATTGCATCGGTTAATATCCATTATTTCCCCTGGGATTGATATTCTTGGGTCTTTTCTGAGTCCGAGTGTTCCGTGCTTCTGCCGTCGTTCAGAGTCCAATCCCAGACCACCTAGTCCGAGACGCCAGTGCCACTCGTATGTAGCGCAAAAACGCTGTGCAAACAGGTCGGCCTTGACGCCGTTGAAGTAACATCATACATGATGTGCCCTACGAAGATCGACTTGAAAAATCAAGGCGAGTGAACGACATAGAGGGCCGCGAACTGCACGAACCGGGCTGCAGGAATACTCATGTAGGGAACTGCGCAGGCTTTGGTTGGGCTTTGCGCAGGATTGTGCGCATCTGATGTCCCAACATTGCTTACATAAATTTTGCTCCCTTCTTCATTGCTACGACATGGCATCCGCGACCAAACTCCGTGCTCGCATAGACGAGCTTTCGGAGGAGTTGGAACGCCAGAAACAGATCGTAAAAGACCTCGAGCGCCAACGAAGCACCGTTCAAAGCCAATTGAATGCCCTGGTCGACCCGATGGCGCGTCTGCCGCTGGAGATATCTTCCGACATCTTCCGCCAGTGCCTGTCATCGAGGCATGATGTGCGCACCTGTTCGACACTCCTGCGCGTCTGCCACGCTTGGAATGCTATCGCCCTCGCCACGTCTTCGTTGTGGAATGTCATCGTCAGCTCGGACGTTCCAGACGCCAAAGTTGCCGATTTCCTGCAGATATGGCTCCCACGTAGTCGCAGCCTTCGATTCACACTCACTCTCCGTCGAATCGACCGGGACCACCTCAGTGGTGTCATGGATGTCCTTCAAAAACACGGGCATCGCGTCGGGAGTCTGATTTTTGTCGACACAGACCCCACATCACTCACCATTCCGCTCCATGCGTTGACAGCCTTGCGGATAGAAGCATCGGAGCACTATCCATCGAGCTTTCCCCTCTCCAGCATACTCAATTTGCTCCGTGGCGCTCCGAATCTTCAGATATGCGAGTTTGGCTCGGTCCAATGTCATGCGCTTAACGTCGAGGGTACTCTGACCTGCTCCTCATTACGTGTTCTGGCACTCGTGAACGAACCCTCACGATCCCGGATGTCATCTGCAGAAATTTTGCTTCATCTCACTTTGCCCGCCCTCGAAAAACTCTACCTGCAGCTCAACATCGACGAGACGGCGTTTCTCCACTTTCTTATCCGATCTTCGCCACCGTTGCGGTTTTTGCAGCTGGATAGTCGAGCCACGGCGTTGAGCCCAGCGCTCGTGAAATGTCTGCAGACGATGCATTCCCTGACGGAGCTCGAAACCCACTGCCGTACTGAGTGTAATTGGGACATTCTCGACACGCTGACCGCCACCCCCGCTCTTCTCTCCAATCTCCAAAACATCGCGGTACACGGGCGCACGCAGAGTCCGGAAGGATACCAGCGTGTCGTGGATTTTCTTGCAAGTCGCCGCGCTACTATCCGGCGCCTCCACCTTGCTGGGGATGATGCAAGGGCGTTTTTTGAAGACGTGGGGCCTGCGGTGCGGGAGTTTGGGGAGGAAGGAATAGATATAATTGTCGGGCCCTAGTGACAGCGTCAGTGAAAAGGTGGTCACGTTGAATCTGGTCGGGGGATTCAAATTGATGTCCACCCCAAGTTTGTTTCAATTTTTTTAAACAGTTCCTGTTCAACAGAAAAAATCAAGTTCTACTCCTCCGTTGCTCCTCCGAGTCCCGAAAAACTACAGACGTTTCGACCAGCATAGTTTACCCCAAAATGACGTTTTCTTCTTCTCCGAGTCCATCTCAGGTGGTCCCGCGTTCATCGACGCTACGACTCCTCCCGACTCTGCCCGTCCATCCAGAACCTTCCCCGTCCCATCAAGCATCCGCACCGCCAGCCAAAATCTGAGGGCGCGCAGAGTCAAGAAGACCGCCAAAAATGCGAGGGCCGTAATTGTCGCATAGTCGCCCGTCGACAGCGTGTTGGGATCTGGGATTCCGGTGGTGGGCGATCCACCAGGTGTGGGGCAAGGATTGTCCGCCGAGGGATCGAGGATGCATGCTGGGTTGTTGTCCGCAATACTAGAGGCTAACGGCTGTGTGGCATCTACAAGAAATGGTTGTCAAATTTGCCTTCGCAGCGAAAAGACTAAACAAAACTCGCCTGATGGTTCAAGATCAACACCAACTTGACGCGCAATGAGAGACTTGATGCCCGAGGAGCTGTTCAAGCGCCATCAAGTTTAAGCGCAATGAAATTCAGATGCCACTCACCGCGGTGCCATGGCCGTGAGATCTTTTGATGTGTCGGTATAGATGCAGTAAGAGCGTAGGTCACCGAATGAACAACGAATGCCAGCCAGCTGTCAAGACATGAATTCTAATTCCCGGCAGTAGGATAAGTAATTATACACACCCGAGCAGGGAAAGAAACAGCATGTTCGAATTCGGGGTCCTCAAGAAGAAAATTGAAATCGAAACAAGAGAAACCGCAGACCAGCTGAGAGGCAAGGGAGAGAAGAGAAGATGGCGGGGTAGGCTATAGCCTGTACACGCTCATAATAACCTTGATAGTGAAGATTTAAGAAGCTGATTCCGGTTCCTATGCCAGTCGTGGTTAGTCTCTCGTAGACAGACGCAATAACACTTTGATCTCGTACCTCGATCGTGTTTCTTCCCTCAGGCCTCAATCCAATCTGGTGTGAACACTGAGAACCAACCCAGAGCACTGACAACTCACGAGTGAACTGCGGGCACTCTTGGCCAAGAAGAATATTCATCACGGGAAAAACCCCGCTCAAAGGTGGGTTGTTGTCCCGGATCTTTTTGCAAGGCAGTGAGAGAGAATCTGTGATAGATACTTGGACCCAACAAATGATCAAGGGAATTTACGGGACCGATACGGGACGCAATCTTCGCAGGCAACCACCACTTTGAAGACACGCTCATTGACGGGCGGAATGGCAAGACAGAAGCGAATTCAGCTCGGGAGGGTGAGAGAGCGGAATGGAGATTTGAACGTGGAGTAAAGGCTGAAGGGAGGATGCATGCATGGGACCAGGAAAGGGGCAAAAAGGGACAAGTGGATGGCCATCGTGGGGGTCGAACCCAAGACCTTCGCGTAATATGGATAGCGGAAATTCAATATTAGCACGACGCTCTAACCAACTGAGCTAGACGGCCATTTTCAAGGGGATACTCGTCCTTCTTGTAGCCCGCGGTCCGAGGGCAATGAATCACACAACTGCTTCGTTCCCTTCTATCTGCCGGAAGTACTCATTCGAGCTCTCCTATTCCATCCATATTCCACTATCTTGAATCCTCGTTCAATACCGCACAACGCAAATCCTCCCCCTCACAAAAACCAACAAGATCCCATAAACCTCAAACACCATCGACTTGGTGTTTAAACCAGCCATCGACGCCGGGACCGAGATCTCCAACAGTCTCTCATCCGACCCGGGACACAAAATCACCAAACCACCCTTCTCGTCAAGCTGCCTAGCCAGTACCTGCCGCCCACCATGCGCAGAGCGTTCAACGTGTACAGAGGTTGAAGCCAGATTTTGGGCAATGACGCGGAACCGAGATGCCTCTTTGTGTATTTCGCTCGGCAGACCAGACGAGGGCCCCAGATTTACGAGTGCGGTGGAGACGCCCAACGTATGCGGGTCCACGAGCGCCGTGTCGCGAAGCCTGAGCTCCTCGCCGTCTGCCGAGAATTCTATGGATTCGCCGAGGGACGATGTAGGAAACTTGCTTATCGGTGCCAGCAATGCGGGGTGAATCATACGTCGAGTGAATGAGACTTGCGGCCAGTCGAGCACTTCGATGTTGTCGGACAATGGCAGGATATCGATGGCTTGCAAGCTACGCCCGGCGGTGGGAGAGCTGACAACGAGAAACACGCTATCTGGATGGTCCTCGTGCATTGCGGTGCAGGTTATTTCACAGTCCTTCAACGCGTAAAATCAATGTGCCAATTTATCGGAAGGGAAACTTGAAGTACATACGATATCGGGGAGCGCCCACAAAGCGCGGTGGCCACTGTCGAGGTTCATGACACCCACCGTATTGCTACTCCTGGCAACAACACGCGAGCCTTGAACGAAAACATGGGTGGCGTGGAACGGCAGTTGGCAAAGATGGGTACGTTTGACTGACGGGATCCTCGTCGACCTCGTGTACTCCACGGTAAAGGCACTGAGATAGCTGTTCAACAGGATAAAATTAGTAGAAGATAGACAAGAATGTTGAAAAACACACCTCCTCGCCTCCCTCTCCTCGTCAAACGCCATAGACAAAACCACAATCTTAGTTTGCACGCCATTATTCCCGCTATACCAATCTATCTCGGGTACCCCACGTCCAGGCCATGGCTCACGCCCCGCGCCCGATGCATACGGGACCTCCAGTTGCACCCCGTATTCTCCGTCGATGAGGTCGTAGACTCCAAGATGGGCGCTAGACCCAAGGAGGAAGGACCTTCCGCCCGGTAGGACGTTCATATACGTCGGTGGAGCGTGCCCCAGTAGGGAAGGTACACCGTATTTGCGCGGGCTCCAAAATGCATAGGCCGGGAGGTCGTAAAGATGTGTCAACTCGGAACTCCGAATGTGAGTCGGAGTTGCTGCTGCCCCGGGCTCGGGGAGAGGGGTTGAACGCCATTTGGATTCGATGGATGCGCTGCGGGCGGAATTCCGAAGAAGGGAAGCCAACGGGGTCGTTTTGAGCGTCTCGCCCAGTGGGAGACTGAGCTTGTATGCGTCTGAAGCGGAGAGCCAGACGGTGCGGTTGGTCAGGCAGATGGAGCGTAGGTATCTGCACGTCTAATCCGATCGAGTCAGAGTCCTTTCAATTTTCGAATAAATCACCACGCACCCTGCTCAAGCTCAAGATATTCGCCAACGAGGAGCCACGCAGGACTATGAGGACGAGTTCGACTGGGAGAAGGTGTATGAGACTTATGGCCATGGTGAGGGTAGAAAGCAAGGAGATGCTGCTGAGACATCACACGCGTCTGCTTTTAGTTCATTCTTGCCGATCGCTGACAGTGGCAGCTCACGATCATTACCGCCGTTTACATCCCGGCCTACAAGTGGGTAACGGACTTGTTCCGTCTTTGGGTGCGTTGCAGCTGCCAGCGGGCGAGCTCCGTCGCCACAATCGTCAACTTTTACCAGCCCAGAGACTTACCTGGCATTGGCAAGCACTGAGCGTATCATAGGAACAAAGGAGGGAGACGTTACTTGCCAAGCGAAGCACACACACGGCGGGCAAAAGCCAGTGAACCCCAAATAAAGGGTTCCCTGGAAGTCCTTTGTCCGGACAAAGGAAAAAGTGGCTTCTTTGAAGGAAGCCTTTGTGCGGGTTCGCTGGCTTTTGCCCGCCGTGACATGTCAGACACCTTTCCGCCTTCAAACTCACGGGCGGTCCCGAAGGCCCCGAAACCCGCAGCGCCCACAACCATGCGTAGGATGCGCGGACTATGACATTGAAGTGATTCAGTCTTCATCCAATCGAATCCCCGCCACCCGACTCCGACTCCTTCCTCTTCATCTCCAACCTCACCTCACTCGACCACTTGAAAAAGTCACACTTCCACTGCGGATCGACCTCTTCCCGCGGGCGCTCCGCCCTCCCTCGATCATACCCCGGTCCCACCGGCCTAGAAACGTTTCAGAACAAGGGGCGGAGAGAGAGAAGAAAAAAAGATCTCACCTCGCACAAACGAAAAACATCTTACCCTTATTCGGGCCTGGCTTATTCACAGTGAGCTCCTTTGCAGGTTCCCCATGGACGAGACACCTCGGAGGCTGGATGGGCGCTAAGAGGGACGTCCAAGCGTGTTTGTTCTTTGTCTTTCCCTTTCCCTGTGTCTGGCTGCTCCCGCTGGCCCCATCGGATTCCTGCGAAAGCGAGAGCGCGAATTTGTAGTCCGCATCCAAAGTGTCCGCCGCCACCGCCGCCGGGTCGTTCGAGCTGCTGCTGCTGCTAGCCTGCGATTGCGATTTCTGCTGCGTCCCTCCCGCCAAGAATAATGACGCAAGACTCGTCTGGCCCTTCTTCGCTTTCGGTTTGGGCTTGAGATTGGCCGAGTCCTTGTCCTTCTTAAGCTTTTTACTGCTCGAAGAAGCGACGGGCGGATCTTGAAGAGTGCTGCTTTTGCGCTTCACAATAGGTTTAGGAGAATCAACGGCGGCAGCGAAAGAGGGAGCCGGTGCGACAGGTCGATCCTCGGTGGCAGCAGGTACGGACAGCGGCGATTGCGAAGGGGGTTGGACCACAGGAGACGTTCCCACTACCTTCTTGCCGAAAAACGCGTCCAACTTGCGTTGCTTATACTCGTCCCAAAACTTTGCCGCAATCCGCGGCGGCTCTCCTCCCGGATGCGCCACGACATCCCGCAGCTTGACCACCACCCCATTCGCGTCGGTGATCTCGTCGTGCAGGTCGACGAAGACGGGACAGTGGTCGCTGCCCTTGATCTCGGGCTGTATGTTGGCCGCTTTGAACCATGGGAGAAGACCCGGCGTAGCAAGGATGTAGTCGATGCGTGTGCCGTAGTTGGACTCGCGAGCAGAGATTTTGGTGTTCCAGCCTACCCTCGTGTTATCCAAAGAAGGGAGTAAAGACAAAACTCACAAGTATACATTCCCTTGCGCTCCGGCCAAAATCGACGCACGACATCGACGAGGCAGCCTTTATTACCAGGCTCGTCTGAAACCAGCCAGTCCCGGAGCCACCGATGAGCCCCGAGCGAATAGAAAGCGTCCTCCCCGCTCACTCCCTCCGCCTCCGCCCGTGCCACCAAGATACTCCCCTCAGCATGGTCCACCACCCCCGCGCACGCATTCAAATCACCCACGACCAACACTTCCCGGTGCTCAATCTCCACCAGCCCACGCACCCTCGCCTCGAGAGCGCGGTGGAAATCCATCTTGTATCGAAACCGCTCCTCATCCCCGCCGTCGTTGGGGCAGTACAGGTTGATGAGAACGAATAAGCCGAAATCGATGACGAGGGCGCGACCTTCAGAGTCAAGTGCGGGAAAATCCAAGTCAAGCTCTGAAGTATCGTCGAGAACTTGATCTGGGTATGCCTCGCGCCTCGATACGCGCTCCTCCGGGCCCAGCGGCGGTTTAGGCTGTAGGACCCCGCTCAGACCCTCCTCTGCTTTCAGAGGCCGTAGCAACGAGTTTGTGCGCGCGTAGACGGCGACGCCCGAGTATCCGTTCTTCTGTAAAGGGAAGGAGAAGAAGGAGTGGTAGGAGGCCGGGAGGCCGACGGCTTTCGGGAGGTTTTGCCGCGCGGTTTTCATCTCTGGACACGTCAGTCGGGGAGTGGGTGCATCAATGAGTACCTTGAAAACAGATTATATCCGCTTGCAGGAGATTGAGGATGTCGTCGTGCGTTTTCATCGTGTTCCATCTGTGTTCGTTTTGTAGATGCCACCCTGAGATGCAAGAGGGACGAGTACGGATGATATTGGGGGATTGTGCGGACTCCATTCTAGTACAAGTGAGTGCTACAGTTTGTCGCACATGAAAAGAGACTCACAATATTCCATGTCAATATTCGCATGGTGAGGAGAAGGTGGATTCAGTGGCTGTGTGAGACGTGATCCCGTGCGCCTGCTTCTTCTCGCCGTCATCTCCGAACCTCGTCCTAGCCAGGGCCAGGTCACCGGTCATCTGTCAAGAACTCTTCTGGCTTCTCTGACTGCCAGATGCGGGCCTGATTTCCATGAGGCCGCACATCGTACCATAAATTCCCAGAGGAAGAAGAAGAAAGCATGGCGTGCAGGTCATCTGAGCCCGAATTTACGTGGAGCTCAAGAGCAAAAAATCGCAATATTCGAACGGCATCCGACTCTGCGACTATCTCCTGCAAGCCGCCGCCGTCCTAGAAACCTCCTGCAGCTCGCTCTCCATGCTCCTTCGCTGTACCATTGTTGCCGATGAAACGGCGGCCCGCGACACCTCTTCCGCGCCTTCCTCTGGTCGTCACCTGGTCAAGTTCTGTAACGTCATGTGCCTGCGCCTTGATTTAAAAAGCTGCGCGCTCCAATATTGCAGAGCGACACAATGCTCTTCCTCAAAACCGCCCACACATGGCTGGGTGCGCTCAGCCTTGTCCTCTGCGCAAATGCCGCGAGATCATCATTCAACTCGGCACCTATG